GAATTTTTTATTTTTTATTTTCTCAATTTTCCTCCACTTTAATTCCACTTACTTTACGGTTATTCATTTAACCTATCCTAATGTTTCTTTTTATTAATACAGTATTAAAAAAAATTCCTTCCAGATAACCAGACGTTTCCCAGCCTTGACTCAACAAATTCATTTTCTATAACAATACTGCTCATTACACTTGACCTTAGAGTCGATGGTTTGCTTTAGAGACATTCCCAGTCAACCCAGCTGTGTGATTGGCTGTTAATAAAGTGAAAATAGTCGCAGGTAGCCAACCAGATTACCTCTTCATGTATAGAGGGTTAATACAGCCTATGGGACCAACTTTTCTAGACTTGACTCATCACTGACAACAGTTTTCAAGATTAGTTTCAGTTCACTTTACCCAAAACAATCCTACACATGATTCTTTCACACAACCTCAAGGTACACAGGCCTGATGTCTTTTTTAATAATCAGGAAATAACGTGAGCACAGGGACACTACATCACTATTACAGTCCCCACATTTTTAAAGATCCTAGTTGACTCTCATCCATTATTTGTTGTGTTCTTCTGTTCATCTAGTTCTACCCATTAAAGTAATAAAAACGATACGACAATGCAGAGAACCTTATATAACCTAACCTAACCAACCAAAGACACCTACCTAACCTTACTTCTTACCCGCTCCCCGGCACCCAGGCCATATTAAACATTAAGTATTTTTTATATCTGGTACAAAATAGGTACATAACAATTTTTTTAAAGCAGCTTGATGTAATTTTAATTTTTTTCCGGACGTGAGAGTATACTTACCTGTTCGTTCAGACCAAGTGAACAAACAGTGCTGACACGGTATTTTTCTCTTGACATTTTAACTAAATCGTTTTCTTTAGTATAGTAGAATGTAGATGTGATGGCGGTATACTAAAATAGCATGAAGTACACCAAGGCCTTCATGGTGTAGGTGAATAGACAAAACTATCAGTGATCTGTGAGTTAATACACCACAGTGCAAACATAAGCTTTTCCTGATTTTACTAGTGTGGGCAAGGGGACACCGCGTACCTTCTGTATTAGGTTACAAAGTGGATTTTTCCTTGCTCCATCATTACATTTACAACCTGTGCTTAAAATGAAGGGTCTAGTGATAGTTCTCGTGAAAGTAAACCATTATTAAGGATGTGAACCGAGTGAAACATCCTCACAAACTTACGTTGGTTAGTCTTCTGTTAAAACAAAAAGAAGAATGCATGATACCGCAGCCATTGTAAAGCAAAGGGAACGCAATAACTATCTTAATAAACACCACAAGATAACGTGAAGAATAGGAAGAAAGAGAAGGCGGAGTAGACATTATCACTCACCCCAACCGGCTGACTGGCCTCCAAGACACGTTCTTCAGCGTGTTCTCTCCATTTTCTAAGTCATTTATCATTAATAATAAAAGTTTTTAATGACAGTCTCTTATTATCCTGTATGGGTGATGGATCCTCGTGAAATAATGTTTACGGGGTCGTGCATATAAGATTTCAAGCAATTGCCACCAACTGATAATTAATTTTTCCATTTATTTGATTTACAAGGCTACTCATCAATTTACTTCTATTTTTTATCCTCATTTAAAAATAGTTATGAAAGTAGATTTTTCTATAACCACAATAATACTGTAGATAAATAGAAAGGCGAGGTAAAAAATAGTAGCATTGTCAAATTTATCCATCAACACCTGTATCAATCATTCAGAGTAGCGTCACCCAATTGGTCCAAAGTTTACCAATGTGTTCAACATAAAAAGTACATTTTCATTTTTATTTGGGAATGTTATTCGAGAAAGATGAAATAAAAATTCGGTAATTGTATATAATTAAATGTTTTAATTTCATATTCTTTATAAAATCCATGCGTGGTGTTAATTATTAAATTTGTAGTTAGTATTGCTAATGCGTAATTAGTTACCAATAATCATTTATCATTCTCAAAGGGACCGTACATGACCAAATTGATAAATTGTTTTGAACATCTTCACGAATTAAATGTATTATAGGGAATAAAGATAATTTTCAAAATCTCTGTTGATCGAATATTGTTAACTATAATAACAGTAAAAATAATTATTAATTGAAGTAAATTTCCGCTATTGCTGTTTATATACTGTATACACAGGGTTGAGATATGAACTCTTGAGAAAAATGGTTAATTAAATACAAATATACCACAAAATATACCGAGATATTATTCAATTTTCAGACATAATGCATTAGATAAACCAAACCAAACCAAACCTAACCAAATCTACTCGAGGATCCTGCCGTAGGGTAGTTTGCAGTCCTGTGGTGTGTTATACAGGCAAAAAATGTTTAGCTAAACTGTTTGTGGTGTTTTACAGAATTGTCTACCTAGGTCACGTACTGTGCCGTGTATCATGTAGGCTAATTTAGCTCGGCCACTTTTGTGTCATGATATAAATGATGGGAGTCATTAATACGTTTGTTACCGTGTATAGCGAGGTAGTTGAACAAGTGGTGTCAACAAGGTATTTCTCTCGTTCATCTATACTAATTCCCGTTTAGTTAAGTAACTTCAAGGTCAATCACGCGTCTATTAATAAACTTTGAAGAGTGAAATATACACCACAGTCTCCCCATGAGTCACGTGAACCACCCAACACAATAGTATCACTAGTCGGTTAGTTCTTGTTAACATCACACATCATAACATTAACCTAAACTTACCTACATTTATATCCTGATCCATAACCTAGTTTAACTTAACGTAAACTGAACAATCAACACAATGTGGTAAAAATGTGACAATATGTAGCACTGTGTCGAAAACACCACAATATTTATAGGATAGAAATAATAATCACTCTTTGTTTTAGTCGGTTAAACACCTGCACTGACCTATATTCTTAAGTAAGAATTTTGGGTACTCGTCCCTCGAAAAGCTGCCTGCCAAGGGTAGACCTATTTTAGTCTCTCTCTCTCTCTCTCTCTCTCTCTCTCTCTCTCCTAATGGAACTCTATCCTAACCTTACTTATCCTAACTTAACCTAACCTACTCTAGACTACTTTAACTTACCCTACTCTAACCTTACCCTACTCTAACCTTACCCTACCCTAACCTTACCCTACCCTAACCAAATCCTACACTACCATAACCTTACCAACCCTACTTTACCCTACCCTAACCTACTCTCCCCACCTTACCCTACCCTACCAAACCTAACCTAACCTCATACCCATCGCCCTCAGTAATACCCTCGTTATACCCTGTTTGGTATTCCGTGCCCCGTCACCAGGGTACCACTGTTGGTCTCCAGGAAGATAGATACTGGTGCCAACCCCAACCAAAAAAAAACCTTACTTTTTTACCTACCTGTTAATGAGAAGTGCCACAGGTATGTACCTCTCTCACACCTTCTGTTGTCTGGAGGTAATTCTCTCTCTCTCTCTCTCTCACTGGGCAATATAATTTGAACTCCCAGTGCAGTGGTGGTAGGGTGGTTGTGGTGATAAGTGTATGGATGGTGGTAGTGGTGTTAGGGTCGTGAATGGTGGTTGTGGTGATAGGTGTATGGATGGTGGTAGTGGTGTTAGGGTCGTGAATGGTGGTAGTGATGATAGGTGTATGGATGGTGGCAGTGGTGGTAGGGTCGTGAATGGTGGTAGTGATGATAGGTGTATGGATGGTGGTAGTGGTGGTAGGGTCGTGGGTACTGGTAAACACGGCTTGAGGTGGTGGTGTACCCAGAGTTACCTAAGACGCCCACCACCACCACCACCACACCCTCCCTACTCACTGCCGAGGTGGTGTTTGTGTGTGTTTGTGGCTGTTACATGTTTTTGTTTGTTTGTGGCCTTGTGCAAGCTTGATTGTGTTTGTGTACTTGTCTGTGTTCTTTGTGACTGTTTGTTTATATCGTTTGTTACTATGTTCATGTTTGTTTGCGTTCGTGGTAACACTGTCTAGGTATATTGTATACCTGCACTGTCTATGTACATTGAATTCCTGCTGTTTCTATGTAGATTGTGTGTATATCTGCAATGTGTATGGGGTGTTTGTATACCTACACTAAGTACAATGTTTTAACCTGTCTACATTGTTTATATTCCAGCAATACCCGTGTACATGATATAATTTTAGTGCCTATGTATATTATATACTTTTACTGTATATACACAGTCTTAATCAATGCAGTCTTCTATAAAAATGTTTACTAAATATACTGTATAGCCATCTTGCCTTCATACAGTGGTTTAAGCTTTAAACACTAACACGTTTTCTGTGATTAACACCCCCCTCCCCGCCCTCCCCCAGGCCAGAGGTTCACATTTCTACCACCAGATGGCAGAGTATTACGTGCACTTTTTATCGATCGTTCTTCTCAGAAACTTCCCGACATCTTTACTTCCAGCGTCAGGCGTACCAACTGTACTCTGTATTGATTGAGCAAATTATCCACGATGGACGGGTTGATTTATGTGATCAAACATAAGTTAACGTGAAACACTGGTGAATTATATTATTATGTTTTATCAATATACGATGAAAACATTGTAGTAGCGACAAATGTTGTTACGTGTACAGATTTTCATATATTGGTAGACCACCAAAACAGTAGACGTCATCTTGACGTCAGAGTTGTCAAGGTCTTCGTAGAAGGACAGTTTATAATAGTCACCAGAAAAATAAATCTAAACACAAATAAAGAACACATGATGAATTTATATATATTGTCAGCTACAACAACAAAAACTAAAAAAAATAATACATAAATTAAATTTAAACAAGCTGTATCTTTCGTTACCGTCGACAAAACAGGGTGTAGGAATATTCGAGAAGGCAGAGACAACCATGTGGATCCATGTTTACAGCCAGAACCGAAGCAGTATGATAACCGCGTCATGATTGGTTGATGGCTCTATACAAATGAGAGGAGGGCAGCCATTGGTGGAAAGATGCACTTCAGTAACCCCCTGGACTTCCTCGAGTAAGACCAAAACAAACCCGAGAGTGAAACCACCCGAAGTGAAACTATCCAGTGAGAAATTGTAACAAAACAGACCTCAAGCGCTTGTGTGTGTTCTTAACGTGACAAGAGTGTTATTAACGTCTTTGTGAACGTTTGGACACACAGATAACAGCGAGAAACCTGTCGTAAGTGCAAGATTTACTGGATATTAAGAGAATAATAATAAGTATTTACAACGGGGCTTCAGTACTTTCAACTGTAAGTGCACTAGAGAGTTGGAGTCCCGAGGAAACCTTTTCCTTATATTTGAACACTAATAATAATACCCTATCATTGACAACATAAAGAAGAGCACAAGTCGGACTCCCGTGAGGCAGCAGCAGCGTTGTGGTGGTGAGTATCGTACGACAAAAAATAATACGTGGCACCTCATACAAACATTTCCGACATTAATTTAATCTTGAATTTTTATTTGTTTTCTCTCAGATACAAATACCATTAAAAATATTTGTAATCATTGCATCCAATATATAATTATAGTGGTAATATTAACGTGTTGAATAGAAAAGTTTGTAGTTGTAACTGTACTCGTACCCTCACTTCCTTTGTTTGCTGATTACCAGAAGTGTTGGCTTTGTGCGTTATTTATATACCTATACCGACTATCTACAGTACATTATATAGCTACATTGTGTGTATAGTATATTAAATTATATAGATGCGGAGTCAATGTGAATTTGTATAACGATATTACTGAACATAATATATATATACCATATAATCCAGTTTAAACTGATGTTACCAGTACTGTACATTATATAATTAACCCACGCTTGCAGTCATTTCCCGCGCTTTTATGACAACAACCAATGAGGAGCGACATTTTTCCCGCCATTGGACAGGAAAGGCCCCCCACCCCACGCCATATAATAAAGGTCACATTGATGATCGCATTTTTTTCACTGTTGCTGCGTACACAAGAGTCACTGTAACGTGATTCTTTACTAATTTAACTTGAAGTTTTGTCTTAAACTCAATATTATGGTTTATTTTGTAAATTATTTGAACTGGAGATATTGTATGCGTACAGAATTCACCCTTTGCAATTTCCCTAATTCCCTATTGTTTTGTTATATAGGGATCAACCTTCTCGTTCAATCTAATTCCTTTACTTTACCATAAACACAAATTAGTAATGAGACACAAACGATAATTTGATACACAGGTAAATAAAGGTAATTGAAGGTGTGGATATAGACATAACAACAAAACAGCGAAGAGGATAAAAGTAAATAAAAGTAAAGAAACAAAATGGCAACACTCGTACACGGCTTCTCTCCCAGGGGCCCCGTATTGAGCGTAGTGGCTATGTTTACGTCAAGGCCACGGTGCCACATATATGTTTGTTTTGATAACTTAATTTCTAGTTATAAGCATTGAAATCGCGCATCACATTATATTTATTATTTATAATTAATGTAATAGATGATATGAATATATTTATTATAGCTAAAGTAGGTGTTATTCATTTAAGATTTGCCAAATTTATAGACTTGGCACAGGAGAGATTATTGACTGTGATCACGTGGTCTACCTGTGGGGTGTGTGTGGGTTAAGATAGTTTGCCAGCTAGCCACAAGGTAGGTATTGGACATATTGTTGTTTTAATATCCTCTGCTGCATTATGATTCGTGTTAATAATGAAGGGAAGTCGAAGGGACACTGTGTAATATTCTGAATAACAATAAACCGACGCTTCATCCGTTGTTGATAAGGTGCTGTTACGTAATGCCATGAAGCCTGTGTTTTCTCTTCTTTAATCGTTAATATCGGTGATTTTCCTTGTATCTTATAGTATTATTATATAAGATAGACTAAGAACACCACGAGTATGATAAAATAACAGTTTAAAAGACTCTAAAGATCATTAGGAATTATTCGTTAAGGCCAATAATTTTGTTTACACATGGTGGAGTGCTGTGAAGGTCAAATATCGTCTCTGTTAACCCAAGACCATTTATTGGTGTTTTCAGTAATTGCTATAGCCCATAGTTAGTGCTTTAACAAGGTGATTCGTAACTGTGAGCTATATATACTCTTCTACAACCATAACAACAACACAATTTTTTATACTAATATTTATTACTGTATTATTATTATATGTGTCTGACCTCAAGTATGTATCCTTGGATGAAAAGGATAAGGGGGAGGGGGGGCAGAAGAGGGAGGGGAAGGGAGGAGGGGGAGGGGCAGAAGAGGGAGGGAGGGGGAGGGAGAAGTAGAAGAGAGAAAAGGTAAAGACAAGAAAAATGAGGAAAAAAGGAAATACATAAAGAAAAAAGGAAGGAGAGGAAAGTGAGAGAGGACGAGAACAGAAGAGGGGGAATAAGAGAAGGACAGTGGGAGGAGGAATAAGAGGGGCACAGAAGAGGGAGGAATAAAAGGAAGAGGGGGAAAGATGAATAAGAGGAGGAGGGGGGCAGAGGAAGGAGAGGAGGATAGAAGAGGTCCTATTACAGTATATATACCTGTACCTGTGATAATTCCTCAACCAATCCTGAATGTAGATACTGTGTGATAATTTTGACCACACACACACACACACATACAGGGTTGAGGGGTACAGCTGCACTACATTCGGGGCGTCTCTCTCTCTCTCTCTCTCTCTCTCTCTCTCTCTCTCTCTCTCTCTCTGCGTTTGAAAGCTTTTAAGTGTATGCTGCTTGCGTGTGTATATGTGTGTGTGTGTGTGTGTGTGTCACGAAGGCAGCATTGCAGTGTATCAGGACAGGTATAGAGCAGTGTGGGGCCGCAGGTGTGGCGGAGAAACAGGTGTGCTCCACATATTGGTTCAGGGTGTGACCAACATAATTATCTCACCTGTAATCTGGCTTCTCGCTTAAGCTGCAATACAAAGGTAGAGTCTCAAAGGTCCCTACGTTAATTGATGTCTCCCTTAGCTCTTAACAGAAGTACAACTGACCCACCCACTTGAGCTACGACACAAACATGATATTGCAGAGGTTAAGTTAGGTTAGGTTAGTATAGTTTAGGTTAGGTTAGGTTAGGCTAGGTTAGGTTAGGTTTGGTTAGGTGTTTGAGAATCCACCATCACTGTGTGTCGGAAGTTAAGTGATAAATAAACTTTAGAGAATTTTTGTGTTGATAATTGTGTGTGGACGGACAGTAAACACCTGTGGCACCACCATAACACATAGTGCCAGCAAGCCTCATCACACACACACACACACACTAAACACTTGTAACATGAGAGTAGTGCCAAACACAGTGCCAAGAATACCAAACCTGTACGTGGGAAGGACAGTAACGTACAGCAGTTAATTAAGGACGGGGTAGTACGTTAGTGGCGATCATAGTACATTACAGAACATTACAACTATTTCTCTTCAGTTTAATAGTGTAGGTGTGACATATCAAGAAGCGCTCAACACACTGACCCTTTCGACTCTCACTGACCATCACCACGACCTCATCTGCAAATTTGGTAAGAAGCTTCTACACCATCCTCGACACCGGCTCTTACTACCACCTGAGATCCCTTGTCCGAGAATTGCTGTTCGACACCACAACCGCATCCAGCCCATACGTGCACGAACTGATCGCTATAAGAACAGCCCAGTCCCAACCATTGTAAAAATTATCAATAACATGTAATAAATCAGTGTATTCACTCCCGGTAAACACTGCTCCTTACACTGTCACTATGTTGAAATGAACTGTAGTTTGAGCTGATCTCCATCTAAGTTATTATATGTCTTATTTGTGTCACTTATATTACTTGTATATTATTTGTAATTCGTAACCCATTCCCCAAATATGTAACTGTATATTTTCAGCCTTCTGGCTGCCAAGCTCTTTCAATACACCGTTAATTATTATTATTATTATTATTACACACACACACACACACACACACACACACACACACACACACCACTAGCTTCATGTCTAAAAGTGTCCTGTAAAATTTGGCTAACATTCAAAAACAAAGACTTCTCGAATCCTCCTCCTCATTTTCCTCTCTGCGTATTTGACCAATGCTTATTACTGACAAGAGAGAAGCGTATAGTGTTGCGTCATCTAGCGAGGCGTATGTGTGAGTATGGCTGAGTGTGAGGGAGTGCTGCGTGCATGTGGTAGAATGGAGGGGTAAGGGGGGGGGGAGGTTGGATGGGGGCGTATCGTCATCCAGTGAGGTGTAGATAAGTGTAAAGTTGGGATGGGGTTGGATGGAACGGGGAGGGGAAGGGTAGGAGAGGGTGGAGGCGCCACGTGACCCATCAGCTGATAGTCACGTGGCTTTGTTTACCTGTGGTAGTATACTCGCGCTGTGTGGTGTGGCTGTACTTGCCAGTATCAACTACGCTGGAGGACACTAGTACTACCTCCTCCTCCCTCTTCCTCCTCCTCCCTCTTCCTCCTCCTCCTCCTCCTCCTCCTCCTCCTCCTCCTCCTTCTCCTACACCCTTGTTGTTCTTCCTCCTTCTCCTCCTAGCTTAATGAAATTCCTCTCGCCTACATACAAATTCTTCCATGTCTACATACATACATACAAATACAAATGCATACGCTCATGTCATATAAACATACATACATACATACATAAATATATATCACAGGAGGTGGCGAAAAACAACACACACACACACACACATAACGCACCCAGACGTTTCCCAGAACCTGTTGTGTAGTTGGCGTGGGCAGCGGGGTGAAAGAAGGGTAAGGCTGAGAAAGTGGGGGTTGGCAAGGGAAGGGGTAAGAAGAGGGTACAGGAAGTGGTGGGGCAAGGATTGACAGTAGGAAGGTGGTGGGGGTAAATGTGGGGTGGGGGTAGAGTTCATTGTGAGGGAGGGGTGAGGAATGGTGTTAGGGGAAGTGAGGAGGGGCAAGGGATGGTGGTAGGGGAAGTGAGGAGGGGCAAGGGATGGTGGTAGGGGAAGTGAGGAGGGGCAAGGGATGGTGGTAGGGGAATTTGAAGGACAATGAGGGAGGGGAGGAGGTGGGGGGATAATGATGGTTGAGGGGGTAGGGAAGTGGTGTAAACAGTGAAGGGGGAGGAGATCATTGTCTTGTCATTTAGAACAAACAAACAAACAAACAAACAGACAAACAAACAAGGGGTTGGTGACAGCTGTATCCTTGTGGTGATGGTGGTGGTAGTAGTGGTGGTGGTTGTAGTGGTGGTACTGGTAGTGGAAATAGCAATCACAAGCACCACATCATCACCACCACTACTACTACCTCACCATCACAACAGCTGATAGTCCAATGTTTGTAAACAAATCGATACACGTGGCCGACTCTATCCTGTTGAGTCACGTTGACACACTAGAGTTGAGTCACTATCCTTGTAGCTTGTTTTACTCTCACTA